TCTTCTCCAAATGCTCTTTGGAGCCACTTGAAAATTCCACTATTTTTGGCAAAATTTGATGATTTTTCAAAAAATCGTCAAAATTATCCAGAGCTGGAATTGCATATAAACTATACATTTTTGGAAAGAACTAGTCCTGGGCTACTTCCAGTTTTTCGGTACCCCGATTCATGTCTTCTCCAAATGCTCTTTGGAGCCACTTGAAAATTCCACTATTTTTGGCAAAATTTGATGATTTTTCAAAAATTCGTCAAAATTATCCAGAGCTGGAATTGCATATAAACTATATATTTTTGGAAAGAACTAGTCCTGGGCTACTTCCAGTTTTTCGGTAACCCGATTCATGTCTTCTCCAAATGCCCGTTGGATCCACTTGAAAATTCCACTATTTTTGGCAAAATTTGATGATTTTTCAAAAAATCGTCAAAATTATCCAGAGCTGGAATTACATATAAAGTATACATTTTTGGAATGAACTAGTCCTGGGCTACTTCCAGTTTTTCGGTACCCCGATTCATGTCTTCTCCAAATGCTCTTTGGAGCCACATGAAAATTCCACTATTTTTGGCAAAATTTGATGATTTTTCAAAAATTCGTCAAAATTATCCAGAGCTGGAATTGCATATAAACTATACATTTTTGGAAAGAACTAGTCCTGGGCTACTTCCAGTTTTTCGGTACCCCGATTCATGTCTTCTCCAAATGCCCGTTGGATCCACTTGAAAATTCCACTACTTTTGGCAAAATTTGATGATTTTTCAAAAATTCGTCAAAATTATCCAGAGCTGGAATTGCATATAAACTATATATTTTTGGAAAGAACTAGTCCTGGGCTACTTTCAGTTTTTCGGTACCCCGATTCATGTCTTCTCCAAATGCTCTTTGGAGCCACTTGAAAATTCCACTATTTTTGGCAAAATTTGATGATTTTTCAAAAATTCGTCAAAATTATCCAGAGCTGGAATTGCATATAAACTATATATTTTTGTAAAGAACTAGTCCTGGGCTACTTCCAGTTTTTCGGTACCCCGATTCATGTCTTCTCCAAATGCTCTTTGGAGCCACTTGAAAATTCCATTATTTTTGGCAAAATTTGATGATTTTTCAAAAAATTCGTCAAAATTATCCAGAGCTGGAATTGCATACAAACTATATGTTTTTGGAAAGAACTAGTCCTGGGCTACTTCCACTCTGCCGGTACCCCGATTCATGTCTTCTCCAAGTGTCTGTTGTTTGCATTTGAAAATTCTATATTTTACTACCATATTTGACGAGTATAAAATTATTTTAACTAATTTTTATTTTATATATTAATTTTTTGAATATATTTTAATATAATTTTACTTTATTTCTTAAAAAACATATTATTTGGTGCTCGTTTTATTAAAAAATAAATTTTAATTCATTTGAAAACGAATTTTATAGTATGTGGAACGTATTTGACATATGTGGTGTGGGACGTATCTGGCCGACGAATTTAACTTCACACCCTTCAATGATTGAGTGTACCAAAAACATTACTAAACGTTATGCTAAAAAAAAGTTGAGTGCAAAGTAGTGGACTTTCCTTAATAGCAAGCTTTAATGGAAAGAAAATACTCAGGAAAGGATAAAAAAGGAACACAATGTCTACTAGACATGTAATAATTCTATGGGAAAGAATTGAGGTCTGCAACCAGATATGGTAAATTGGAATTACTCATCGGTTGTTAGGTCTATTCTAACTTATTATTGTATTATCTTTTGCGAGACATTTACTGGAAAATGGTCATTAAAGCTCACATGTGTGCCTCTCTTGGCATTACTGGTACCATTAGTAGTAATCTCTCTACAAGCGGCCTTAGTTATCATTCTTTACCTGTCACCTATTGAACATTATGAGTCTTCGTAAGTCAAATCTTCGCGCGACATTTCTTCGACTGGGTTTTTAGAAAGATTCATTGACAATTCTTTCTTTAGGCAGTGTATTCTTTAGAACTTACATGTTGAAACCTTTTAAGAATCGACATGTTTCTGCTCTCCTCTTTATTTATCTTCTTTTTGTATTTTATATTGTTTTGCTTTCAAATCGGAATGATTTTGTCATTCGGCATTATAAAATTGATCGCGTAACTAATTGAATTCTAAGATAATCTAGCCGTCTGTCTTTCGGACGTTTGGTATATATGTATATAGAAAATACGTAGAATCGGTTTATATTTAAGCACCCATGTTAGATCCCATTCAAAACATGGCTATCACCTACATTACTGCCTTAAAAATTGTACTGATAAATATACAGTCCAGTCGTACAAGTACTATAATGATTTCTGCAGACAGACTGATAGACATACAAATGAGGCTACAAATTATCTTTATGAACTGAATTATCTATTAAAGAACTAGTTCCCAAAACTCCACAGATCATGTTCCAAAAAATGAACCCAAAAATGTTTACCAAATAATCTATTAAATCCATGAGGTCTTAAGCTAACTGTGGAACAAATACCAATTTCCTTGACTATGATTTTGTAAAATTGCTTATTTGCAATTTTTTGCATTTAAAAATTTACATTTTAATTGAAAAAGTAAACTTTGGATCAAGAATTCTACAACTAAGATGTATGAAAAAGTAAAATATTTACACAGTTTTAATTACCTGCTATGGAACTTTTTTTTGCTAAGAAACTAATTTAAAAGAACAGGAAGTAAAACGTAAAAAATTAAAACGTTATACCAACCTTTTCGGACATCACCATATTGTTATCATCGGTGCCATATACGGTCTCAGCACCAGGCTGAGGACCCCGATTGTTGAGTAAAGTGTCGTCGTTGTCCATTTTGATGTGTATATTATTATTGTTGTTAATTTTGTTGTCTATAATTTTGTTATTTTTGCAAAATCACTTGTCACTATTTTTGGTTTTTGTTTTTGACCACCTCCTCTCATACAAGTCACTCACTTGTGTAAACACACACGCTCGCACACGTTTCTTCGGCGTATGTGCCTTTGTTTGGGGAAGTGTGTAAACAGAGTGGAGCAGCACAAGAGAGCAGAGAAGGGATGTTGCAGCAATGTACAAGAATAAAACAATACACTTTCATACACTCATATATGGGGATAGAAAATGCACAAGTGTATAAAAAATAAACGAATTTTACAAACAACCCCTTGTCAAAAACCAATTTATTTTATTTTCGTTTCTCTTTTGTATTTCTCTGTTATATTTTGGTATTGAAATCACATAAACACACACTCACTGGCAGACAGGCACTACTAGGAGCTTTATGCCCTGTTTTATATTACTAATTATGATTTATTTTATTTATTATTTTATAAATTTCAATTAATTTAACACTATTTTTTGTTGATTTTTGTTTTAACACCTTTTTTTCTTCGTCATTTTTTCATGCCAATTATTTTTCTTCACTTGCTGACGAATCTTTTTCTATTAAACTTTGTTGCTGTTGTTGTCAAATTCAAGGTAGTTAAAGATAGATTTTTTCCAACTGCTATGTGTGTTGTGCTCTATTGGTATTGTGGATATTTTTTGGGGTGAGAAGAAAAAAAATTATGACTAGATTTTCTTTTTGCAAATTTTCGTTTTATTTATTTATATTTCATCTTAAATTTTATTGCACTTTATAGCTGTGACGTTTAACTATCATTTTTAAAACACTTTTGTAAAAATTTCTTTAATATTTCTTATTATTTTAACATTTATAATAAATATTTCTTCGCAGATACCCGTATGACGTGAAAAATTTTCTTGGTGTGTAATCAGAAACCTGCGACGACAAACATTAAAGACGACGGCGGCTGTCATTTAAAATTTTGTCGGCGTCTTAAAATGGACTGTAAGCCGGCTATGTTTTCAGTTGTATTTTAAATTTGTTTAACGATATTAAAAGCAGGGATTGAAAATTATTTTAATTTATGTTTTGTGAATATAGGAATGGAAATTAAAGGTACATTTTTCGCCATTCTTTATAGTAGGACATTTAGGTACGGCAATGTTTTATCCCATTTCATGATTAACAGTAATGACTTGTTTTCGCAGACATTTGTATGGAATCAAAATTGAATCCTGCCTAAATATTGCCCATTTTCAACAAACATGGAGTATACTGAGCCACATTTAGTAATTCTAATTTTAGAACTATAAACTTCATATTATTTATGTATATGTTCATAATAAGAGTTAGATTCACCCCACCAAAAAAGAGGCGGTTTAATCATGTTACGTGTATTAAAGTTTTTACCATAAACTTTAATATTTGTTATGATAACCATGCCTACAACAAAACATTTCGCCTACTTTTCATAATTTTTGGTTTGTTAATAATTAAGTAAAACCGATTGATATAAAACAATACACATTTATAACTCTGACTTTTTAAACATTATAGTGTAAATTTTTTTTGCAAACTTTAATACAAATAGTTTAGTTGTATTTGTTAAGCTTAGTGCTGATTTTAGTGCCCATATTCATTTTAAGATTATTAATAATGAAAACCCGTTTTTTCTGATATCCGATTTTTCCATGCTACTAGAAGTCTTAGGTCTCTTTTGTATAAAAATCCCGAAAATCGAACAATTTTTTTTTTACCTTTGTCGTTCTAGATTGGGCAAATGTGTCACTGTTCAGATGCTGGATTCTTCTCTTGTTTTATTTCGCAGAGATTATTTTTCCAATAATCGATGTCAAAATTAGATTTCAATATAAAGTTGTTAGTATGGAATCGTTTACAATATAATTTTTACAGCAACAATCGATCGAAAAATCGATCAATGTCCATTTACCATTGACTACACCATTTCAAGTTTAAATTGAGGAAACAGAAATTCATATTGAGAATTAAAAATTTGAATTTGGAAAATTATTTAGAAACTTAAATTAGTATTGAAATCAATTGGTTATTTCTCAAAAAAACAGTTCGAATTCCAAATTTTAATTTATTTTTTCTTAATACTAATTTTGATTTCTAAATTTAATTTTGTTTGGCGTAGTTAGTTTATCTTTTCGTTTTATAAAAGTTGTAGTTTTATTTCGAAACTCTTCATTGTAAGACCTACGATAGGCACCTATTTATTGTCGTAGTAGCAACATGCTAAATGTATCTGATCCATTAAAATTTGAACAACACACTTTTCTTAAACAATAGGTATAAACAATTTTACTTTTTGAATGCACTTTTAAAATTCAGAATATTTAATAATAAGTTTTCATAAAAACCATTTTTTGCAAAATTTTTGTGTTCACAATTTTTTTTTATATTTATAAAAAAACTGAATACAAAAAAAGCACATTTTATGGAAATGTTTCATTAAAAATTAAGCATTAAATAAAATATAAGAAAAATGCTTTCTTAAAAAACAATATAAAAAAACTTTAAAATAAAATTATAAACATTTCCTTATTGCTGCAGATGACGCTCCCGTTTCCAAGTGTTTCCGAACATGATTTAATAAAGTGGTTAACAAAGCTAACATTTTTTTGTACAAAATTTTTTTTTTTTAACAAAAATGTTATTTAAACTATGGATATTTACAATTACTCTGAAACCACTTGATCGGCTTTAATTAATATGCCTTAAACTAAATCTGCTCCTCTTACACTGGACTCAAAAGATGACTTAACACGTTAAAACATTTTTCCTAGTTTGTTTAGATGTAAGATGTTTGTTTGTTGAGGAATATTGTTGTTGGGTTTTGGGCTAGGAATTGTGTTTTATTCCTTGGAAGCCATATGACCCATTAGATTACTGGTGAATTTCTCAATTTTCTTTAAATCGGGCATGTTTTCAGCTTTATATTGTATGCACTGCAAGTGGAAGAGTTTTAAATTAATAAGTATTCTATGGAAGCCCTTAACCACAACAAAAACAACAACAATTTGCACTTACTTTAACATTGTCCGTCATTTTCATGAGTATGTGTCCCTTTGTATGCACATATTTCATGGTGTAGCGGCATCCCATGGGATTAGCCATGTACATATTTTCGGCAGCAATTTCGAAATCTTCCCAGTTCTTTACAAACACCATTTTAAATTATTTAGTTATTTAGAAAAATTAAAAACTTTAAATATTTTCGAAAGCTAAAAATTCCCTGCGTTCTTCTTTTGTGTGTGTGTCGTGTTGTTCAATGTGTCATTTTTGACAGTTTGTTTTGTGCTCGATTTTCTCTGACGTGACAATTATTTGATAAATTTACAGCTGCTGCCATCTGTTTGTGGCAATTTATTTAAGGTTTTGCCTAAAGTTATATTGCAGCCTTTGCAGACGTATTTACACTACTGTTGGATGTAGCATTTCTTATGTAAGGTGGATGTCTGTACTGTGATAAGGTTTATGAATTCGCTAAATTCTTTAAAGACATCAAAAATTAAAAATAAAAAAATTACATACTTTTAAAAAATTTTTAAAATCAATTATCAATTAGGATAAAAATTTTTAGAAATGTTATCTTACAATGAACCAAACTTTAATTTTCGGTGGGAACATCAGTACCTTGTTTTTTCTTAAAAAATTACTGAAATACTATTGAATAATTTTGTTATTTATACCTTTTTATTGCCCTACACCTTTCTAGATGATCAGGGTAGGAATTACGCATTTGTTATTTTTATAATAAATTAAATCACCTAAAATAATATATTGAATTTATATTAAGAAATATCTGAGAAGCCCTGAAATTGTGGGTCTATCACTTTTTTATCTGAAATTGTGGGTCTGTCACTTTTTTTATCTAGGATGTTCTTAAATATATATGACTATAAAAAGTTATCATGAAATTGTGGGTCTATCACTTTTTTATCTGAAATTGTGGGTCTATCACTTTTTTTTATCTAGGATGTTCTTAAATATATATGACTATAAAAAGTTATCATTCTTAAAACTTAATTTTCAAAATACATAATAGTGGATTTTTAAAAATCTATTAGAATTATGTACTCCTTTCAAAGGTTGAACTTTATACGAATAATGACTGTAAGAATTTGTTTGTACTTCGATCTACTGGATCTGAAGAACTTTTTTTATGTTTACCATGTACTTCTTTCGTATGTTGGACTTTATGAGCACTTGTTTTATTGGTAGCGTCAACAACTTTCGAAGATTGTACTTTATAAGAACTCGTTTTCTCTGAAGTGTGTATACCCTTTCGGATTTCCGTAAACAATTGACTAACCATTCCTTTAAAGTCCGTACTTATTTGAACATTACCAAAATTACCGGTTCCATTTATAATATTCTGTTAAAATAGAGAAACAAAATTAAAAATTGAATTGAAAATGATTTCTTCCATATGTATATTAAACCTACCTTTGCAGTGCCCTCAAGACCAGCAGCCATTAGTGTGCTAAGAATACTGCCAATGATAAAAATTGTTGCAAAAATTTTCATTTTTCCGTTTTTTTTTTTAACTGAATAGTTGCACAGCACTTTATTTTACAGTTATAACAGTTTATGTTTATTTACAAATTATATTTTTATGTCATCAATACGAACTGCACCTTTAAAGGATAAATCTGACAATGATAGTATTTACAAACTTCTGCACACTCAAGATAATGAGTAAAAGCGATGGGCATGAACAATAGAAATATTTATTTTAGAAAAAACCGCATCATTAGTTTAAGTTTCTTCGGATTACTATAGATGATTAAAATAAATAAATATGCATAGTTTTCATACTTTATAATTCTATAGTGGGAATATAGTATGTATGTCTGAGCTAAAAATTGTAAAATCCTACAATAATGATGATTCACAAAGCACCAATTTGGTTAGTCTAGTCTATAGTCTAGTCTATAGTCTAGTCTATAGTCTAGTCTATAGTCTAGTCTATAGTCTAGTCTATAGTCTAGTCTATAGTCTAGTCTAGTCTATAGTCTAGTCTAGTCTAGTCTATAGTCTAGTCTATAGTCTAGTCTATAGTCTAGTCTATAGTCTAGTCTATAGTCTAGTCTATAGTCTAGTCTATAGTCTAGTCTATAGTCTAGTCTATAGTCTAGTCTATAGTCTAGTCTATAGTCTAGTCTATAGTCTAGTCTATAGTCTAGTCTATAGTCTTAGTCTCTAGTCTAGTCTATAGTCTAGTCTATAGTCTAGTCTATAGTCTAGTCTAGTAGTCTAGTCTAAGATTCTAGTCTATAGTCTAGTACTATAGTCTAGTCTATAGTCTAGTCTATAGTCTAGTCTATAGTCTAGTCTATAGTCTAGTCTATAGTCTAGTCTATAGTCTAGTCTATAGTCTAGTCATAGTCTAGTCTATAGTCTAGTCTATAGTCTAGTCTATGTCTAGTCTATAGTCTAGTCTATAGTCTAGTCTATAGTCTAGTCTAGTCTAGTAGTCTAGTCTATAGTCTAGTCTATAGTCTAGTCTATAGTCTAGTCTATAAGTCTAGTCTATAGTCTAGTCTATAGTCTATTCTATAGTCTAGTCTATAGTCTAGTCTATAGTCTAGTCTATAGTCTAGTCTATAGTCTAGTCTATAGTCTAGTCTATAGTCTAGTCTATAGTCTAGTCTATAGTCTAGTCTATAGTCTAGTCTATAGTCTAGTCTATAGTCTAGTCTATAGTCTAGTCTATAGTCTAGTCTATAGTCTAGTCTATAGTCTAGTCTATAGTCTAGTCTATAGTCTAGTCTATAGTCTAGTCTATAGTCTAGTCTATAGTCTAGTCTATAGTCTAGTCTATAGTCTAGTCTATAGTCTAGTCTATAGTCTAGTCTATAGTCTAGTCTATAGTCTAGTCTATAGTCTAGTCTAGTCTATCTATAGTCTAGTCTATAGTCTAGTCTATAGTCTAGTCTATAGTCTAGTCTATAGTCTAGTCTATAGTCTAGTCTATAGTCTAGTCTATAGTCTAGTCTATAGTCTAGTCTATAGTCTAGTCTATAGTCTAGTCTATAGTCTAGTCTATAGTCTAGTCTATAGTCTAGTCTATAGTCTAGTCTATAGTCTAGTCTATAGTCTAGTCTATAGTCTAGTCTATAGTCTAGTCTATAGTCTAGTCTATAGTCTAGTCTATAGTCTAGTCTATAGTCTAGTCTATAGTCTAGTCTATAGTCTAGTCTAGTCTATAGTCTAGTCTATAGTCTAGTCTATAGTCTAGTCTATAGTCTAGTCTATAGTCTAGTCTATAGTCTAGTCTATAGTCTAGTCTATAGTCTAGTCTATAGTCTAGTCTATAGTCTAGTCTATAGTCTAGTCTATAGTCTAGTCTATAGTCCTAGTCTATAGTCTAGTCTATAGTCTAGTCTATAGTCTAGTCTATAGACTAACTATAGACTAGACTATAGTCTAGTCTATAGTCTAGTCTATAGATCTAGTCTATAGTCTAGTTTATAGTCTAGTCTATAGCCTAGTCTATAGTCTAGTCTTATAGTATAGTCTATAGTCTAGTCTATAGTCTAGTCTATAGTCTAGTCTATAGTCTAGTCTATAGTCTAGTCTATAGTCTAGTCTATAGTCTAGTCTATAGTCTAGTCTATAGTCTAGTCTATAGTCTAGTCTATAGTCTAGTCTATAGTCTAGACTAGTCTAGTCTATAGTCTAGTCTATAGTCTAGTCTATAGTCCTAGTCTATAGTCTAGTCTATAGTCTGTCTATAGTCTAGTCTATAGTTTAGTCTATAGTCTAGTCTATAGTCTAGTCTATAGTTTAGTCTATAGTCTAGTCTATAGTCTAGTCTATAGTATAGTCTATAGTCTAGTCTATAGTCTAGTCTATAGTCTAGTCTATAGTCTAGTCTATAGTCTAGTCTATAGTCTAGTCTATAGTCTAGTCTATAGTCTAGTCTATAGTCTAGTCTATAGTCTAGTCTATAGTCTAGTCTATAGTCTAGTCTATAGTCTAGTCTATAGTCTAGTCTATAGTCTAGTCTATAGTCTAGTCTATAGTCTAGTCTATAGTCTAGTCTATAGTCTAGTCTATAGTCTAGTCTATAGTCTAGGCTATAGTCTAGTCTATAGTCTAGTCTATAGTCTAGTCTATAGTCTAGTCTATAGTCTAGTCTATAGTCTAGTCTATAGTCTAATCTATAGTCTAGTCTAGTAATAATTTTCCATGGGTGTTATTGTATCCCCGTTGTAGTGAAGCAGACCAGTGCCTTGAACTGAAGAGCACCAGACGTACAACCAAATATAAACCAAATATAAATAAATTAACAATAATTAAATTACGACATACTACGATACAACCATACAACATCGATTGTGAATTGGACAAATTTGAAGTACATACTTCAATTATATTTTGCAGGGATTATCACAACATTTTTTACAACAAATTTATTTATATTAAATACAATATGAGTACAATAATTTAAATTATTTCCTATGGTCCATGGCTTATAAACCAGCGTTTGACATTACTGAAAATTAATTTATTAATTTAAAGACTCATTGAAAAGTAAGGAATAAAAACTTACCGGTCCTAGATATGCTGGTGGCAACAGTGGCATAGATATACCTAACCTGTAAAACTAAAAATATGTATTTATTATTAATATTTTCTAATGCATTAGCAAGGAAAATAAAGAAACTTACATTATATGGAGCAGTCATTACACTGGCAACAATACAGCTTACTATTGTAAGGAATAAATTGATTAGTTTCATATTTCTTCACGATCAAATAATGTTTTTGTTCTAGACAATCTTAGTCGAGTTTGAATATTACATTTTCTTATCGAGCTAAAAAGATTAAATTGATTTATATGATTCATAAATAAATGTTTTAATTGTTTAATATTTTTATACATTTTTAACCACAAATAGCAGTGGATAGCAGTTGGTTTTATAGAATTTTAAAATAACCATCGATATGATTAATGATTTTTCATATGCATTATTTAAGGACTACGTTTTTTAAATCAACCGCGGGGAAATCGGAAACATGATCGAAGGGAAATGCATGATGCATTAATCGATTGATTGGGCATGTGGGAGAAGTGAAATTATTCATATTTTGAGATTTATCAGAATAAGGGTAATTATACCCTACACCACTTTAGTGGGGAGGGTATATTGGATTTGTGCTGATGTTTGTAACGCACAATAATATTGGTCCTATACCCACCTTAAAGTATACCAATCGGCTTAGAATCATTTTCTGAGTCGATTTAGCTATGTCCGTCCGTCTGTCTGTCCATGTAAACCTTGTAATCAAACTACAGGTCTCAATTTTGAAGATAATTCAATGAAATTTGGCACATGATCTTCTATTGTCCCAGAGACGAAGCCTATTGAAAATGGTTAACATCGGTCCATTTTCTCATCTAGCCCCCATACAACTGAACCCCCGAATAGGGCTTGTAAACCTTGTAATCAAACTACAGGTCGCAATTTTGAAGATAATTCAATGAAATTTGGCACATGATCTTCTATGGTACCGGAGACGAAGCTTATTGAAAATGGTTAACATCGGTCCATTATTTCACCTAGACCCCATACAACTGAAAACGACGAATAGGGATTTTAAGTTTATAATTATGTTTAATATACTCGTATCTCGACAAAAAGCTGCAAAACCAAGTTCTATACTAGCCTTGATGACTCGCATGAATTTTATAATTATAGGGTCTCATTTGACCATAGCCCCTATACAAATCCCCCTTCAAAATTTGACTTAAATGTCCACAATTTTATTCAACAATAAATGGCTTAAGTATATGTATCTGACACAAGTCAACTTAAATGCTTTATTATGAAAACTAAATCACATTTCATTTTTGTAACAGGTGTAGGGTATTATATGGTCGGCCTCGCCCGACTATAATTTCTTACTTGTTTTTATTTTCCATTTAACCGGACAATTCCCTTGAGGACGTAGTATAGAGGGTTTTTATTGGATTTGTTTGTCATTGAAAACGTTCAGTATTGCTAAATCATTTCGCCTCCATACATACATTTTTTGGTGGAGCTTGAGACGATTCACCATTGCCGCTAGCGAGGAACAAGCAGGTGGCAATTTTCGTATATGGTTTTGTCGGTCTATGTACAAGCAGTTTGCTTAAGTACCTGTACTATCTAATCTCTGACGACGTTGCGAAACTTTCTAGATGTGAAAACATTACTCCCATTTACAACAACGTAGGTGGGATAGAGACGTAATTGCTAGACCGAAATACGAATCCATCAAATAAACCAAAGACATGTTCTTACACACAGAGAACTCACTTTGCTAAGTTAGGTATGAATAGAGCCAATCCCGAGCATACTTGGACACATAAGGGAATTCTATGGTGTCATCCGAACAAGATAGCATACATCCATCACCATTCAAACTTGCACACTTCTCATTTATCCGACACATTCAAGAGAAAACATCTGACACATTTGTTCGAGTATACGGGACCAGGTCCATATTTCCCTGATTCATTATGTAGCTTATTCATTTAACACCAACCCATTCCCAACACCAATTTGTTCTTTTTATCGGTTTAAACCACCAAGTACATCACAATGGCATTTTTCAAATAGCCGCGATTACAAAGTGTCCGAAACTCTGCGCTGTGGGCTGCCGGTTCCCGTGATACCAGATAATATGGCTCTCTAATTCGACACCAGGTCGAGGGTACATTTGACACCATCAGCGGTAGACTAGAGGTACTGATAGCACCTCTTTTGCAATTACACCAAAATGGTGGCAATTCATCAAGGTAACATGCTTCGGGGTATGCCTTCATATAAGTGACCCCAAATAATACATAATTCACAATTTTGGATTCAAAAATTACATTGTGCAATATGAGTCATATTAGACTTTAGCCGCTATATAAGATCCCTCACAAAAAACGACTTTGACGCTCATAATTTTTTAAAATATATAACCATGAAATTCAATATACTTAAAAAAGATTTATAAGAACTAAAATCCCTCCATTAAATTTTATGTGGATCAGAAAATCGAAAATGTACCACTTGAAGAAAGAAAAAGTACAAACAAATCTTTCTCACTCAGGCGACTTTTACCTCAAAATTTCAAATGAGCGAGGTGCCACGCCCACATACAAAATAAGTATTAAAAGTCCTATATCTCAGAAACTGCAAGAGCTAGAGTTCTAAAATTTGGTATGGACAACTTTGACTTGGGCAGCCTAGATATAGTGGGCGTCGCACCTGCCATATAAAAAACATCTTAAATTGATATATGTAAATATCTGAGGAAATATAACAGATAGAGTCCCCATTTTTTTCGGGGGGACATGAATATTTAGGACCTGTCACCTCCTATATGGATTAAATTTGAAAATTCGTTGATCTGATAAATTATTTGTCATATAACCTTAAAACTTTGTACAGTTTAACCTATTTCTCTTATACATAATTATAACTCGATTCTAATGAATTGCTAATTTTGCCCATAAAATATAAATATTTTGTGTTCAGATTATTACAAAATAAAATTTATTTAATCATGTGATATACATACAGACATGTATACACTTTTATTATATAAATTCAATACTAAATTCATTTAAAAGAATGCAATCATTTGAATTATTTTTTTCCTTGTTCGTTATACTGAAAATATTTATAATTATTAATTAAAATATAAATACCATAAATAGCAAAAGATTAAAACTTACATAAGGTCCATATGCGGCAACCACATGGGAACCTGGGTCACTAGAGCCCTGCACATTAACCTGAAAATATTTACTGCTTAATTAAAAGGATCTGAACAAAAGTTATTACAACTTACATGTCCTGCAGCAGCCATAACACTGGCAACAATGCAGCCGATTAAAAGGATTGATTTAATTAATTTCATATTTCTTTTTACGATCAAGTTACACTTTTCCGCTTTAGAAACTTATTGGAATACTGTTGCTTAACTTCTCTTTATATATGTACTAACTTTCATTAAATGTATATATGTTTGTGTGTAGTTTATTTTACCCTACACCTTTTTAGATGGGCGTTTTTTGTTCTCAAATAAATGAAAAATGATTAAATCTCCTAAAATAATATACCTAGTCTATTCTCAATTCTTAATAAACACTTTTCTAATAGTGAATTTACTATTTCCTGCTAATTAGCTATAACATCCTTAAATAAGTTTAAAATAAAACTGTGATTTTTATAAGTGTACAATGTACGGCATTACATAGTCGATTTTGCAGACTAAACTAAATAAAACCAATAAGAAAATTTCTATATGATTTATAAATAAAATGGATTTTTACGTTTTTAACCACAAATAATTTTCTAGAATTTTAAAACTATAAATAAAACTAATGGCTTACTAATTTTCAATACTCGAGTAAAATAATCTCCAGAAAAACCGGAATTATCGATAATAATTAAAAATATTATATTCAAAAAATGTATGTTATTTAGGGTGAGTCTTATTACTCAAGTTTCAATTTAAAATATTCAAAATTTAAATTTTGACTCCTCGATTTCAGCAAAATTATCAACAATAACTTTATAAGCACTCTGAAATAATATTCTGTATTTACTTGATCAAAATAAAGCAACAATTTGTAGTCTATAGTCTAGTCTATAGTCTAGTCTATAGTCTAGTCTATAGTCTAGTCTATAGTCTAGTCTATAGTCTAGTCTATAGTCTAGTCTATAGTCTAGTCTATAGTCTAGTCTATAGTCTAGTCTAGTCTATAGTCTAGTCTATAGTCTAGTCTATAGTCTAGTCTATAGTCTAGTCTATAGTCTAGTCTATAGTCTAGTCTATAGTCTAGTCTATAGTCTAGTCTATAGTCTAGTCTATAGTCTAGTCTATAGTCTAGTCTATATAGTCTAGTCTAGTCTAGTCTAGTCTATCGTCTAGTCTATAGTCTAGTCTATAGTCTAGTCTATAGTCTAGTCTATAGTCTAGTCATAGTCTAGTCTATAGTCTAGTCTATAGTCTAGTCTATAGTCTAGTCTATAGTCTAGTCTATAGTCTAGTCTATAGTCTAGTCTATAGTCTAGTCTATAGTCTAGTCTATAGTCTAGTCTATAGTCTAGTCTATAGTCTAGTCTATAGTCTAGTCTATAGTCTAGTCTATAGTTAGTCTATAGTCTAGTCTATAGTCTAGTCTATAGTCTAGTCTATAGTCTAGTCTATAGTCTAGTCTATAGTCTAGTCTATAGTCTAGTCTATAGTCTAGTCTATAGTAGTCTAGTCTATAGTCTAGTCTATAGTCTAGTCTATAGTCTAGTCTAGTCTAGTCTAGTCTAGTCTATAGTCTAGTCTATAGTCTAGTCTATAGTCTAGTCTATAGTCTAGTCTATAGTCTAGTCTATAGTCTAGTCTATAGTCTAGTCTATAGTCTAGTCTATAGTCTAGTCTATAGTCTAGTCTATAGTCTAGTCTATAGTCTAGTCTATAGTCTAGTCTATAGTCTATATAGTCTAGTCTATAGTCTAGTCTATAGTCTAGTCTATAGTCTAGTCTATAGTCTAGTCTATAGTCTAGTCTATAGTCTAGTCTATAGTCTAGTCTATAGTCTAGTCTATAGTCTAGTCTATAGTCTAGTCTATAGTCTAGTCTATAGTCTAGTCTATAGTCTAGTCTATAGTCTAGTCTATAGTCTAGTCTATAGTCTAGTCTATAGTCTAGTCTATAGTCTAGTATAGTCTAGTCTATAGTCTAGTCTATAGTCTAGTCTATAGTCTAGTCTATAGTCTAGTCTATAGTCTAGTCTATAGTCTAGTCTATAGTCTAGTCTATAGTCTAGTCTATAGTCTAGTCTATTGTCTAGTCTATAGTCTAGTCTATAGTCTAGTCTATAGTCCTAGTCTATAGTCTAGTCTATAGTCTAGTCTATAGTCTAGTCTATAGTCTAGTCTATAGTCTAGTCTATAGTCTAGTCTATAGTCTAGTCTATAGTCTAGTCTATAGTCTAGTCTATAGTCTAGTCTATAGTCTAGTCTATAGTCTAGTCTATAGTCTAGTCTATAGTCTAGTCTATAGTCTAGTCTATAGTCTAGTCTATAGTCTAGTCTATAGTCTAGTCTATAGTCTAGTCTATAGTCTAGTCTATAGTCTAGTCTATAGTCTAGTCTATAGTCTAGTCTATAGTCTAGTCTATAGTCTAGTCTATACTAGTCTAGTCTAGTCTATAGTCTAGTCTAGTCTATAGTCTAGTCTAGTCTATAGTCTAGTCTAGTCTATAGTCTAGTCTATAGTCTAGTCTATAGTCTAGTCTATAGTCTAGTCTATAGTCCAGTCTATAGTCTAGTCTATAGTCTAGTCTATAGTCTAGTCTATAGTCTAGTCAATAGTCTAGTCTAATCTATAATCTAGTCATTAGTGTAGTCTACATTCTAGTCTATATTTTAATCTATAGTCCAGCCTATAGTGTAGTCTATATTGTAGTCTATAGTCTGGTCTATAGACTAGTCATATTCGGAGTGTCCCGTTGTATATGGGTTCAATAGGGTTCGCCCTATAGCCATAATAATTACGTGTTTCAAATTTTATCGAATTGTTTTCAAAACAATATTCAATTAAATAAATTAAGCTTTTTTTAATTTTATTGAAAAAAAAAAAACAAACAATGAGAAATATACATTTAAAAAACCTCGTGTTTTAGTCCGCCTACAAAATTATTGAAATGAAGTTGGACCTAGTTCTGAATTTTTTGTGTTTATATGAATTTAAATCTTGGAATTTAACATCAAGACAATTTGAATTGTTATGTTTTAAGTGAACTCTAGTAAAAATATTACCACGATTTAAGAATTAAGCAAAAAAATTTAATCGAAGTCGACACTTCGCAGTTTTTTAATGGAATAATTGGCACTTTTATACAGTTGCATACTCTCCAACCTGAAAAGATAAAATTTGAAATAAAAACTCGTTGAAAAATACTTATATAATTGACACACTTCCTGGATGTTTTCAATAGGTAATAACTTAATTGTGATAGCATAACTACAGCAAGAACAATTTCAACTGTCAATACGAATAGGGAATTTAAATTTACACGAAACATGCCACAGATTTGTATTTTAGGTCTTAGCGTTAACCGTCCTAGAATGAATCGTTCTACCTGAAAAAGCAAAAAAAAAATGGTTTAAATAAACAAGAAGACCAGCTCTATATCGGAGAGCTATATATGGGGACTAGATACTATAATGGTCTATATACATATAAATTATCTTTGTTAAATTACATTATTATATTTCTGTCTTTAATATATTTATGAATTTTAAATTAAGTTTCAGAAGGCACCTTATATAGGGCTAAAGTTACCCGATTTTTATACCCTCCACGACCATCAGTGTTATATGTAACTATGTCATTCCGTATCTAACACCAAGAAATATTCATCTGAGACCCAACTATATTCTGGATCCCCATATAAGATTCTGAGTCGATGTCCGCCTGTCTGCCCCTATACAAAGGTACATATTCTCGGAAATGGATTTATTGTTAGTAACTGCATCCAAAATTGTATAGATATAAATATAATATTAATAGAAATCATATTACTAACTTAGATCTGTATCAGTCCATAATTGTTTATAGCTCCCATATCGGGTCCACTTCCGAAAATTTAGAAATAGATATTTGAGAAAAATTCGATATTAATATGTTTTGTATATATGTATCACTCTTGATCGATCCATGACGTGTCATACATCCCATATAAGGCCCACTAACGATAACCACACAAACGGACATATTTCATTATAACTAAATAAAGTTATCGTTATGAATGTGTTTAATGTATATATAAACCACCCGGATCGATCCATAATTGGCCCTTCATTACTACATAAAGATTTCCGTATAAAATTTGTCATGATTACGTTAAATGTATATATAAATAACCCTGCTAAAGTTTATCCGTATCGGTCCATAATTGGTCACACGTCCCTTATAAGGTCCACTTCCGAAAATTTACAATTCGCTATAGTTCTCATATAAGGTCCAAATATGTATATTAATTTACGTGAGCAATTTAAAACCAACCTCATAGTTTTTCTTTCTAGCAGTGTATTCCAATAAAATTATATCTGTTGCTCTCATCGTCTCACATATTCGATCACAAATAAAATAATATAAAAACATTTCGATGTACAAAAGCAAAATCGAAACTATATACGGACTTATCAAAAAAAGTACTTTAAAACCAATAACTAAAGTAAGTGCCATTGAGGTAAAATAAAATGTGGAATTCATCAGCAGTAGACCAATGAGTGCCCAAAATATAGATGGACCAAAGATGGTATTCACTTGTCCCACCAACACCGATAGTTTAAAATAAATATATCCAAATGGCGATTCTACTCGGTCATGTTTTAGCTGTACATTTAGTTTTGTAAGACATTGATTGATATAACATAAAGTTAGTCCATGGTGCAGCATGATATTTTCTATCATACCGGTTGAATAAGTGTGCAAAAATAAGTTAAATACATCATTCCAATCAGCCAGGATCAAAGCGTAGATAGTAAATGATAAATTAAACAAAAAGCGTACATTCACTATGATGATATTGAACATTAGAACTTTGTCCATTTTATTATATTCCTTTAAAATTTGGTTATTTTTAAAATATGTTTTCTGCAATACAGCAATAGATTTCAAACATTTTTCCAAGGCCTTATCGCCTTTAATGTGCCATAAGTAAAAACAACGCATAAATATAGACGAACAAAATTTATAGCATAAGCCATAAGCAATACGACTTGAGTATTATGTTGAACTCCATATTTATATATTATTATATCACTGGCAGAAAGGACAACGAACAGAAGATTTTGGAAAAACACGAAAATCTTTATAAACTTAAACGATTTCACGAGACGTCCATCAATATCAAGCCAAACTGTGACCCAACCGTTTATACCATGACAGAGTCTTAAACGTAGCAACCAATTAAACCA